ATCTGATACTTCATTATCATTATCTCACAGACATTATATCCAATTTATCCAATTGCACAATGCAATTTCGTTAAGTGTCTTATTTGTCTTTGTTTTAATGAGGCTTTTAAATTTTTTCTTTGATACTGTTCCTCTTTGAATTCTTAATAACATGTTACTAATTTTGTTTACCTTCTAACCACTTCCCCTAATTTTTACTAAATCATTTTAGCCTTCACCCCACCACCTCTTTTTGGCTCATGTCTCTTTATTTTGATTTTTAATATATGTTTACAAAATGTACATTAACATCTATTGTGATCAATAGATTTATCCCCTAACAGATAGATTCTAAGTTTTTATGTTTTATGCATCGGTTTTATTTTTAATTTTGTGTTTGTTTCATAGAGGAATGGGAAATCTGATGAGCTGAATTCTTACCTGCAATAACAAATTTCATTCTCCTGGCATGTTGAGAGCAAGAATTTTCCTATTCTTGGGTAGGGTGTCAAAGATAAGGCCATTCTATTCCCTCAATATAATGACTTCTCATTTTCTAATGACTGATATTTTGGGCAGTGGTTAGAATATGTTTGGTATGTGTTATAACTCTGTCATTTCTTTGGGGTTAGAAGAATTTCCCAAATAGGGGAGCATTGCTGTTTTCCTGTCTACATTTCCTGTTCACTCAAAAGTCAAGTGCACTGAAGTTCTCAGTTTCAAGCCCCTTGATTTTATGTTTCTAATCATCAATGCTATGAAGCATCATTGTACAGACCTTTGCTTAGCATTGCAGCATTCATTCTGTTTGGGCCTTTTTTCTTCTGTGCTTTGTCTGGGGTCATTTCCTCAATACTTTCCCCATGGAGTCTTTTCAGCACCTCACATGTTGGTGTCAAAGGACGAGCAACAAAATTACTGAAATCTAATGAATAGACTGGTGGTGGTTTGAATGAAAATAGCCCCCATAGGCTTACAGACTTGAATGCTTGGTCACCAGAGAGTAGCCTTATTGGAGGAAGTGTGTCAGTGAAGGTGGACTTTGAGATTTCTTAAACCAATTCTGAGACCAGAGTCTCTTTCATACTATTGCCTAAAAATCCAGATATAGAACTCTTAGCTATGTCTCTATGACCGTGTCTACCTGCATGCCACCATGCTTCCTGCCATGATGACAATGAAATAAACCTCTGAAATTTTAAGTCAGCCCCAAATCCATGTTTTCTTTTATAATTGTTTCCATGATCATGGTATATCTTCATAGGAATAGTACACTGACTAAAACAATATCATACAAGATTCATTATAAATGTATTCTCTTTTGTACATCTTATAAAGGTAAAATTCTAGCTGTCTAAAAGTTATTTTGTATGACAGGAAGCTAATGCCCTCTTAATTTGGGGAAAGTTTGTGTGAAATAACTGAAATTTAGTTAAGTTCCACTAGCTTAGGGGCCAACCCAAATGAAATTAGAAACTGTTTTTCATAAAATGATTCCATATTTATCATATGTCACCAAAAATTTTTAGAAAGCTTAAAGTATGATTAAATCATCCATGATGAAATTTCACAATATATTACCACTTAATACTGTGGAATAGTATTGGTTCCTATAGAGAATCTATATCTATATCTATATCTATCTATCTATCTATCTATATATATATATATATATATATGTCTATGCTGTATATATATGTGTGTTTTCAATGTCTGGGGGAAATGGTGATAAAGGGAGAAAGAGAAACATATAAATGGTAAAAGTTGTAGGAAGAAAGACAGACACTGATGTCAAGAGATTGCTAGAATATCTACCTGTAGAAACTGAAGCATGAAACAAAACTCAATTATTATATGCATGAATAGGAATGAAAGGGTGTTATCAAGCTACAGGCTTACAACTAGGAAAAAACCTGTCAAGAGTTTAAATGGGAAAAATAACTAAAAGACATTCATAATGAAATGCTATGTATAAGTTTTATTTTCTCACTTTCCAATGAGGTTTGGAGTGGCATCTTCACTCTAGTTTAGCTTTGAAAAGTGGATATTTTTTCAATTGAACACAAAATGAAGACAAAGTCTGTTTAAAGAGTAATTTTTGTAGTAAACAAGATAAAGCATGAACAGAAAGAGTAGCCACTGATATTGTTTCGTAAAATAGTGATCAGAGTGCTTTTCGGTTACATTGAATATTTTACATTCCATTAACATCCTTTTAAAGAATTGACTTTATTGTTGGTGTATTCTTCTTTGTCCAGCAGCTCATCCTATTTTTACATAGATGGCACTGGGAGAGTGACTATATGGTTACTGTTTCACACAGTATGTTCACTGCTCTTTGTTTCAAGAAGGGAGTCACTGTCTTTAGCTGGCTACTCACTGCTCAATCCACAAGACTCCAACAGATCACTCTAACCCAACAGAGAAATAAAACATAATGAGCAGACATAAATGTGAGAGAGAAACTTATGGGGAGAAGGGGGATGTAAATGGTGATGGTGATCAGCACACACAGTGTATGCAAAATTGTCTAAGACAAAAGTCAATAAAACATTAAATAGAAACAAAATCAACCAATAATAACTGTTGAATTAATTTTTAAAAGTCATATTTCAGATTATTCCTTGCAAATACATTTCCTGAGGTGAACTATACATATTAATACAGGGCTCATAGATTACAAAGGTTCAGCATATAGTACATTCTAAATTAAGGCATCTACTGAAGGGTTCTTTTCCTACTACACTTTTTGTTGACTTTTTGAAAGGTTTTGAACTGTACAATTCTCACTTTTGTGTTAAATATCTTCAAATATTTACTAAATAAATCACTTAAAAGTAGTGATTTTATGCCATCTTTGTCATTTATATAAAAAGTATAAGACATGGTAGGTAGTGTTTGTTACAATGTTTACCATGTTACATTTTGTATTGTTTATGACTATCTGTTAAAATGGAATTTTTAGTTCATTCAATGTTCTACTTCTTGTGTTTAACACTGGAAAACTTGTTCTCAGTCTTACCACTGAAAAACAATGGGTGTTACAAATTAATTATGATTTAAAAATAAATTTATTCATTATTCTATCATAAAATTGTTTTACATGCAGTGCATTGTAATATAAAAATTTCATACATGTAACATATCTGTCACAGGGTAGTTTTCTGTTATTTGACTTTAAGTAGCTAAATGAAGACTACATAAGTTTTATTTCAGTTTTGTATTTTTTTTACAAACCGGTAAGAGAAGCATTGCCCATCTTACTGCTCTTTGGTTAATTATAAGAGGACATTTATAACCTGCTTTACAATATTCTGTTTCCCTTAATGACCTCCATTTCCTTAAATAATGGGTGGAGGTAGCTAGGCAACTGTAAGAGATTTTTTTTTAAAGATTTTGCCTTTATTGAAGAATTTACCACATACTAGAAAATTCCTTCCCAGGAGAAATATTCTGGAATCAGGATAAGGGTCTCCTCACTGTATGTATTTAGTTTCCATATGTAGAATTTTCATAGTTCACCTTTCAATCCAGATTTAGCAGCTAGGCAAATTTGGCCCGAGAAAACCCAAAACTCAGAGATAGAATTGTTGCCATAGGCTACATAGAGTCACACTGACAAGAGGCCCCTCACTATATAGGTTTTAGTTCATAGAGAACTAAGGGAAATTTTCATGCAGGCATACTCAGAACAGCACAGAGACTAAATCTTTATCGAAGTGCTCCCAAAATAGGTCAATACCAATGAGTGGATTCCCTCACTGGGAACATATGCCTAAAGCAATCCTACACAAAGGTTTCTTGGGCAAGTGAATCAGAGGTCCTTGACATTTGGGCTCAATAACCACTCACTGCCTGTTCACATTTGGCCATCTTTTCCTCAAGAACTTCCACAGTTGCCTTTTCCTCCTCATTTTTTCAGTCTGATCCTCTTCTTGTGAACCCTTTCTTTCTGTGTGGTAGCCATTGTAAGCTGGGTCTCCAAAATTTCTTAATATCAAACTAGATTATTTCTCATAGTTTTAATTCCCCCAGGTGGTGGTGGCACATACCTTTAATCCCAGCACTCAGGAAGCAGAGGCAGGCAGATCTCTGTAAGTTCAAGACCAGCCTGGTCTATAAGATCTAGTTCCAGGGCAGCTTCCAAAACCACAGAAAAATCCTGTCTCAAAAAAACAAACAAACAAAAAAGAAACAACAAAACAAAGAAACAAACAAATCCCAATACCACACCAAACTGGGGCCAATAAATGAGGATAAAGAACAAGTATTTGGTACCAGAAAATAGAGAAAACAAGGCTCTGAAGCCTGTTTATAAAAAGTTAGTGACAAAAGTCAGTGTTCAACTCATTGGGGGAATTCTCATTTTCAATTGAGTATATGACAGCTACAGGATCTAAGCCCCTGTGTGGCACGCAGAGATGGGCCCTGAAGTCCATTCAGTTTTCAGAATACATTTACGGGATCCCACTACTATAGTGACTATAGTAGTATAGGGAAAATTTGACTGTGCTACCACAAAGTTTCTAAAAAATTTTTAGACATTTATATTGCTTCTGATATATATATATATATATATATATATATATATATATATATATATATATAGAGAGAGAGAGAGAGAGAGAGAGAAAGCAATCATTATGCACTTGTGTTTTAAATATACTTATTTACATTTCAAGGATGCCTCAAGCCACAAGTCCTGATGATATCACAATAGGTATCAACCCCTCACAAGGCTTCAGAGAGAACATGCTCTAGTTATCAATCAATTTCTATGGAGAGATAGTTGTTATCATGAAGCAATGTATTGCCTGCTGCAGAATGTGAAGGTAAGAGAGTACAAGGTAATTATTTCATAAGATGGTGCTATATTTACCACAATTCTAGGATTGTAAATCTATATTTCTAATTCTATATTTACATTTCCCTTTCTACTTAGCAAAAGTTGGAATTTTCAGCAATGTGACAAACATGCAGCCATGACCAGTCTTCATCACACCTCATTTCCCACAAATTACCGTGTGAAGTCTGTCATCTCCATCATGATCATGCACATCTTCTTGGCAAGAACAATGATGTCATTGCTTGTGTCATCCCAGATCTCAATCTCAGCATCCAGCCTGCTCTTCACCTTCTTGAAATCGGCTACTTGCTCAGCAATCTTTTCCTTTTCTGCCTCAGGCAGTTGAGTCATCTTAGCCTGAAATGTGATGGTTCAATTTAAAATCATTCCTCTACAAATGTAGCATCTTAGGAATAAGCAGTCACTACGGTACAGTTATACAAATAGTTCATTTAAAAATCACGATACCTAGAGTTAAAATCATCCAATCTAAGGTTTCCTATTTGATTCAAAAGGGAAAAGCTACATAATTTTAAATATTTGGTCTCAAACTATACAGTTACATTTGATGTTACAAAGGTAGACATTGGTTCTGATGTTTTAACTCTCCTCTATAAAATAGCCTGCTACTACTTTTATAATATACCCAAATTTTAAATTGAATCTGAAACATCACATTTGTTAAAAATGTATATTCCTCAAATACATTACTTAATTATATTAATAGAACACTTGAAAAGATAAAATTAAATAAAATTTACTTGGAATTACACTATGTCTACTTATCTATGTGTGAATACACACACATACACATATATACTTCATTCAGCACTGTATATACATATATATATATATATATATTCATAAACAATTACACAATATGCTCATATAAGCTTATAGATAATATGTATATTTAGCACAAGCAAAATCATCAGATCCATATTAGCATATATACTGTTCCCATGGAAGAATAATAGTGAAGGGCAGGAGTTATGAAGGGCACCCTCCCTTATTAGCATAAAAGGACTAGAGGTGCTGTTCAAGCAGCAAACATTATCTGCTTTGGCATGATAGCACTCTGTGGATATGTTACATTCTTAACAGCATGCAAATTGCATCTTCCCATTGCATCTGAAATAAGGCTTTGGTAGGAAACCATGCAAATTCTAACACCACCAAATTCTAAATCTCAGCGAATGGAAACTGTCAGTTTTGTCAAATAGAAGAAAAAAAAAAGAATCCTGAAATGAAATTGATTTGATATTTTAAAGACCATAAAGTTTTATGAAGCTGTCTTTGCTATTATATTGTCAAACAGCCAGGTCCAAATCTAATCCCAACAACACACACACACACACACACACACACACACACTCAAGTCACATACACTCATTCAAACACACATACTCAGACACAAACATATACACCCAGATAAACGCACACACAAACACAATCCCATACAAATACACACTCACATATATCATATATAGACACAAGCATGTACACAGAGAGAGACATAAACACACAAATATATGTCTGTGGACATATTCTCACATACACACATACACACACGTACACACACACACACACACACACATTAACACACACTAGAATGTCAGATACTTTCTAATAGGTATATATACGTGGAAAGGGGAGTGTCTTGTAAAGGACAAAATATGAGTATTGGAGTTTCTTATTAGACTGTTTACATAAAAAATATGATCAGTATTTCTGGATTCTAGTGAATGAGTATATCTACATGGGAAAGCAATATCAGAAAACTGTGATTTTCTGAATATTAGGTTCAAAAATAGTAAAAAACATTCCTCACTGGATCAGTAGTATATACTAACAAAAAAGCTTAGCTAAATTAAATAAAGAAATTAGGTTGGGTGTGGTTATGCGTACCTTTAATCCCAGCACTCAAGAGGCAGAGACAGAATGATTTCTAGTAGTTTGAGGCCAGCCCGGTCTACATAGAGAGTTCTTATCCAGCCAGGGATACATATGGAAGCCACATCTTTAAAAAATTTAGAATAATGGTAAGTTGAAAATACAAACAAAAATATAAATCAAAGAACAATATGTATTAACTTTCATTTATCATTAGCTTATTACTAACCTAACCTAGGACCTCAACCTGTTGTGCTTAAGACTCATGGAATTAGGATGCCTTGCCTGATATCTGCCATAGCAAATACAACAGAGAGTAAGGCTTTCTGGTGTGGTTCCCTTAAACTCTCTTAGCATAAGCCTCACAGGTTTAAGAATTCAAAAAATGACATATTTCTTTCTTATTCAAAAGAAAACTTACCAATGTATATTCATATTCCCAGCACATTTTCATTTTTCCATTTAATTTCTTCTGAAGACTACAGTTAAGCTTCCTGAGGTTAGGATTTTTTTCTAAAGATTTTATTTGTAATTATGCACATGTGTTTGTGTATGTGGAGGGTGTGAATGCAGAGGGTGCAGGGGTGTGTTTGCGTGTGGATGTGTATGAGCACATAGGTCACAGTGTGGTGAGGAACAGAGGTGAAAATCCCTATGGAGCTGTTGTGACAGAGAGTTTGGTACTAAACTCAGAAATTCCTCAGGAATAGTGCCTGTCCTTAGTAACCAAGCCATCTCTCCAGCCCAGAGGCTAGATTTTTAATTATTGAGCTATACAATTTATCTTTCTTACCAATTGAAAGTAGTGGTTTTTTTTCTTTACTTTCTCTCTTAGGAGATGTGTCCTGTTCAGAGTGTTAAAAACCAAGCAGCTCTTACTTCTGGTGGCTTAGGGCAAGGGACATAAATGAAGATACAGCTCACTAATACCAGAATCAAATGTAATACACAAGCATGTTAAGTAAATTGTAAGCTGTCAACTCGTTAAGCGAGCTGGGAAACAGAAATGGGTTTTTCCATCTTGAATACTGGTCATTATTTTGCTCCTCTCATAAAATGTTTATACATTCAAGTACTAACAACTGTGAAATAGATTCAACAGAGGCATCTTTGGACATACTATATGTGAGAAATAGTGAGTCTGTGGTACTGGATGTGCTGGATATATCATATTATTATTATTATTATTATTATTATTATTATTATTATTATTATTATATGGTAGCTTAAAACAAACTAGAGTCATTTGGGAAGAAGGACTCACAACTGAGAAAACATCTCCATCAGATTGACTTGTAGGAAAATCTATGAAGCATTTTCTTGATTAATGATTAATTTGGGTGTACTCAGTACTCTGGGAACATTGTAGATGGTCCTGACTTGTATGAGAAAGGAGACTGAGGAAATTGTTAGGAGCAAGCCATGAAAGCAGCACCCCTGTGTCAACTATGCTTCAGTATTTGCCTCTAGGTTGTGACCCTGCTTGAACTTTTACCCTGACTTCCATCAGTAATAAACTATTAACAGTAAATATATGATAAAATAAACCTGTTCCTCCCCAAGTAACTTTTAGCCTTTATGTTTTAATCATAGTTGTAGTAATGTTAAGATACTGATAACCAGAGTAACCCATAATGCTAATGGAAATTTAGGGAATATTGGGAAAGTTATTCACTAATGAATGACACAATAAAATATTACGGTGATAATATGGTCAAGAGTATTCCAAGATCTATTGCTAGGAATGACACTGATCTCCTCTATGATCTCTAAGAAGTCCTTAATTCAGTTTTATAAGTTTACCCTAAACAAAATTACAAAAATTACAACTTTTACCCTTCTTTTAAGGGAGCCCAGTGGCAATGGAAACCGTCACAAATAGCATACTCATACGTTGCATCCCATATACTCTCAACTGACATAGTAAGTTACAATCAAACAACTTTCAGATCTGACGAGAGAACAGTCAATAGTTGTGCAAGAGTTTGTAAAATTGAAAGTTCTAGAAGATTCTAGTTATACTTTGCACAGGACAGCAACAATAATGAAACATTAATTTTCTGTCTGACACCTTTACTGAAGAGTTTAAGTTGATCTATGAATAATTTATTAAATTCCATCAATCAATTACAATCACTGGGAAAATTTAAAAGTAAAACCCAAGAGAATACTTTATGTTGAGGATTCCAGCTTAAAAAAAATGCTTTTTGAATTATTTTGTACAAGGTATGAAAAGGAATAAGAATGAAGTTTAAAAAAGTAGGTCAAGTAGAAACTTTGCAATATATAATCAGATATACAGATACCTGAATCTACAAATTCTAAAACATAGAATTCTGATACAAATAACTTTGTGGGTTCTTGCCATATGAATGATATTGCACTGTATATCTATTAATTTGGGAACTTAAAACCAAAGATAATGAAAATAGCTGCCATCAACTTGTGCCATACTCCTTAGGCACCATTTTATTTTTAAATTTGAGGTCCCATCTTTTTGAAAGTCCCATGAGTTAAGTGCTAGTGTTATCCCAATTTACAAATAGGAAAATTAAATATCTCCAGGAGAATAAGCATTTGAATAAAGAAGTCTAGTGTTGGGCAGTGTTTGAACCATAATTCAAACCATGAAGTGTAGCCAGGAATTCTTGTTCTATTACCATGACAACAAACATGAGTAGTGTCATTTCAAATGCACCAAAACGTCCACACTGTCCTCAGAGGTATTCTCCAATACATAACACTTGTCAGAATTTGTTTTCTCTCTACAGTCTTCATCATAGACTGTAACTACATTTCTAGAAATATTTAATTGGGGAAAAAGGAAAAGCAAACCTAGCCAAATAAATCTACATATGTGATGGGTGTTCTCATAGTAAGTTTTTGATATGGGCTAGAAACCTCATGAAATGCAACCCTTGCTTTTGTTTATTTTTCTATTTTGCTAAAGATAATGTATCTGTCACATTTCATTGTATGTTCATCTCATCCTATGTATTTCTTTCTCTACTTTCTGGCACTAATTTCCTCTTTTATTTGAATGTTTACTTCAATTGTACAATTCTTGTCACTTAAAATAACAAAATAAAACAGGAGAATATTTAGGTCATAAATATATCGCTGAAAATATTTTTAATAATTTATTTCATGTTTTGAAATTATTACAGCAACCTTTCTCTCTTAAAATATTTCATATATTTGTTTATGCTATTTTTTTAAATTCATGGCTTCTTTTTTCATTAATTGTTGTTACATATTATATATATCATGCTCAGTCTATATAATGTTACTTTTATGTGAGTTTCAGCTCTGACAATTTGATGTCAGATAACCAGTTGGTGTGCTCTTCTGTGCAGTGACTATTTCTCTGGAATTACTCTTACAATTTGAGAAAATATATGTACCTAGCAACAGAATCAAATAAAGCATATCATTGATACACTATAAGCCTTTAACTATCTTTA